TGTGTTTCATTCACACGTTTGAGTAATCCTTTATTATTAGTTTGTCTACATCTCCAACGCTCAAAATGATGCCATGTGATGATAGTTAAAGTTAACAGCTACCTTTTACCTTAAATTCAGTAGAGATTGGCAATTCCAGGGCTGAAATGATCTAAATGATTCTAGTGAAGGTGTATGGAGTTCAAAAACACAGTGGAGCACTTCCTGTTTTGACATCACAAGGTGTATGAGAATGTTTTCCGTTCTGACAGACGAACTCACCCTAAATCTGCAGGGTTTGAAACAAAACACAACTCCAGGTGTGTTTGTGATGAGGAAACAACATTATAACAGATCAGAAAATGGCGCAATGTGGACAGTGTGTAGTACAGACTCAAGAACTCCTCTATTATACTTATACTTTTTACGCTCGGATGAGAATTCAGTACTTTCCTTCAACTCTCTTGTTTTCTTTTACCGCTTCTTGTCATCAGCAATAAGTACCCCTCCGTTCTAGTCAATCTTTTATTCCTCATGTCCACTGTAGCGTCTCCACTGATTTGGCCAAAACGAGTAAAAGAAGCAACTGTGGTTTTGAATGAATATTAATGCCTCCCTTTACACGTCTACTGCAGCTTTAAGTGGATAAAATGGATACTAGCATGTTTTTTATTCATTCTTCCTTTTAGTCTTAATTATTAATCTCCTCGTAGGACAAAATGTTATAAAATGGCTATGTATTTCCCATGTAGGGCTTCCCCGACTTGCTATGTGGAGTCTTGTATGTTTAACTTGCTTGAATTATGTATAGTTGGAGCAGACATCTTCTATAATTGAGTTATTGTGAGGCGTGGAGGCATCCCCTGTGCCCGTCCTGGACTTTATGACAGCTGTTAAAGTCCTTCAGTTTTCCAGTCCTGCATAGTCTGATGAATGGTGTACATGAGCGTATGACCGCGTGAAGCAGTCGCCAAGAAATATGCTGTTAAAAAGTCCTGTGTTACGCAAAACTGACATTGCATTGTGTAACTTTTCTGCTGGAGGTTGCTCGTTTTAACAATGTGCTGCAATTTGTTTTTAATCCTTCAAGGACACAGATTGAAACCAGTAAATAAAAGAAAAAGTAAGCAGACTATCGATAAAAGAACAATAAAAGTTGCTGAGAATAGTTTTGTTTTCATTAAAAGTTCAGTTTTCTCAGCAGGTATGTTCTTTGCTGCCGTCGTTTAACAATGCTTTCAGTGTTTAGGTCAAATTTCAATTTATTGTCCATCACGGTGCCTAGATATTTGTAACTATCGACAATTTCAACAACATCACCATGGATGACAATAACAGAGTCCTTCTCCGGGTCCCAACGGGTACGGACAAATGGTTGATGAAACGGGTGGGTTTTAATGTTCTGGAATTTTACGGGCGGGTAGTAATTATACACGGGCGGGTCAGGACTAAACCAGGACTAAACCAGGACAAAACCAGGACTAATCTTGGACTTGAGAGAGAGGGAGAACCTCGAGCCCCCGGAGCAGGGTATCTGCAAAGCGCGGTTGGGCGAAGGCTGCACTTACCTCCTTAGGGCACACCTCCGAGCCCATCCCGACAGTGAGTCCTAGCTCAGTTCTGGTTCAGTCCTGGTTTAGTCCTCCTGGTTCAGTCTTGGAATCAGCCCTAGGTTTGTCCTGGATTAGTCCTGGGTTTGTGCTCGGTTAGTCATGTTTCAGTCCTGGTTCAGTCTGGGGTGTGTGCGGGACAAAAGTCCGGCATCTCAATCAGTGTTTCTTCTGCTCAGTTAATAAAGCCTGTGAAGTGATGACAGTCGAGTCGCGTCTGTAAATTCGTATTCGTACTGAAGAAAGTGTAATAATTTTATTTTATTTTATTTCGTGATTGTAATTCTTGAAGTTCAATTCATATTCTGATGGATGCTTCAGTTAGAATGCTTTTAATTTGTGTGTGATTTATCACAGGCCCGGCGAGTAATGGGTGGAACATTTAATGGGTCCTGGTGGGTGTGGGTTTAACTTTGATGTAATCATGGGTTAATGGGCGAGTGCGGTGTTGTACTGCGCTTGTGCGGGTTGGTGAGGGTCTCCAAAAATGAACCCGTGCAGGACTCTAGTGGGAAGGTGCACGTCTAAAATCAATCACCATGTCCTTAGTTTTGGCAACGTTCAAATCAAAGTAGTGGGGGCGCCAGTGGCAAAAAAAATGTCGTTGTGTCCTTAGGCAAGACACTTCACCCACATTGTCTAGTAGAAAGTGGTGTGAGTGTGAGTGATGGTGGTGGTCGGAGGGGCCGATGGCGCAGTTTGACAGCCTCACTTCCATCAGTCTGCCCCAGGGCAGCTGTGGCTACAGTAGTAGCTTACCACCACTGAGTGTGGAATGACTGAATAATGAACTGTAAAGTGCTTTGGGTATCTTGAAAGGCGCTATATAAATGCTATCAATCAATCAATCAAAGTAGTTGTCCTCACACCTCTAGACAAACTGCCCCAGCTCATGGCCATGATTTACCTCAGATCCTGACAGTAGCAACACCAGGTCTGTGTCCGTATCTGAGAATTTGATAAGGAATCTGTTTTCCTCTGAGGATCTACAGCAGAATTAAAAGAAGAGGTGACAAAACACAACCCTGAGGAGGCCCGTGTTAGAGATGGGACAACGGATGGAAATTAGCCTTAGGCTACAATCCGGTGTGTTTACATTCATGTTGTCATGTTTGTTCATTAACATGCTCTGTCCCAATCAAATAAATAAATAAATAAATAAAATAATAATAAAAAAGATCGAGGGAGGAGACAATCGGTCAAAATACGGTGTGTTAAATATGACTGTTTGTGGAATAATGTCACTATATACCTGTGACCGAAATAAATTAATCAAACAATCAGATGCACAGTCTTTTAACCTACAAGATACACTACCAGTTTATTTATTTTTTCCTGTATGCTTATTACTTTCAACATATGAAGTAAGATATACGGAATTATGTAGCAAGGAAAATAAAGGCTAATTTATTGAATTACAAGTGGTTTTATGGCTCAAAAAAATACCTCAGAAATACAGATGTGGCCTGTAACTTGATCTGGTTTTGTTTCCATGTAGACAGAAAGGTTTAACACCATACTGTGAAACATCCCCGACAAAGCAATAATACCATCTCCACAGAGAAAAGCATATGACAGATCATCCACCAGAAAGGTTACACATTGCACCTTTAACGCTAGTCGGAATCATCTTGTCAGCAAACCATTAAGTGAGCAGGTGTTAGCGTCCGTCCCGGTAGAGCGTGGTTACGTGCGCACACACATTAGTCAGAGCACTTTAATATTAATGCATGTGTTTTAAATGGTCAGTCAAGCAGAGGTCATTTCACGCATGTGCTGACAGCTTCACACAGAGACGGTGACAAATGCAAAGCTCGTCATGTTAAGTGATTAATGAACTCTCCCTGCGTGTGGACACAGATGGATACTCCTATCCACAATCCTATAAAACAGAACTGATCCGCGTGGGCACCCCTGCCGCGTGGACTCTCTCTATTCTCAGATGGGTTTAAAGATTTTATTTAAAGGTCCTATATATATATATGACTATGAAGCTGTCAGCCAACAACTAGACAATTATCTCTTTCGTGTAGTATTTTATAGATTTTATGTTTGTGTTATTCTTTCATGCTGTAATCCCATTGTTATGGTTGTTTGAATTGTGCTATATAAATAAAATAACTTGACTTGACATATTATGCAAAATTGACTCTCGTGAGCTTTAAGCCGTGTTAGAATGCTGTTACCTATGGAAGCTGGGAGGGCTCATAACAAACGCAAACTCCGCAACAAATACAAACGCCACAACGAACCAAAAAGCCACAACGGAAGTGAATGCAGGTCTCTATTTTCCGACGGACCGAGCAACGGTCAGATTAAGTCCAAAACAATAAGTTACTTTGACTTACATTTCCAACTTCGTTCACTTCTCCGTTCGTTTACTTTTCACATTCTTGTTCTTCTTCAGCTTTTCTCATTCACTTCCCGCTTGATCCTTTAACGCTTCGCTCGGTCCGTCGGAAAATAAGAGTCCCGCGGTCTCTTCCGTTGTGGCTTTTTTTGGTTTGTTGTGGCTTTTTGTTGTGTTGTCGCATTTGTATTTTGCTGCGGCGTTTGCGTTTGTTATGAGCCCTCCCTGCTTCCGTAGTTACCTCATCAAAAAACGTGCTCAGAATTGTGTTTTGTTTCATTCACACATGCTTGAGTAATCTTTTATTATAAGTCTGTCTACATCTCCAAAGCTCCAAATGCTTTGTTTCACTTTTGTTTTTTTTGTTTTTTTTCCAAGTTAACAGCTACGTTTTACTTTTTGTTCAGTAGAGAATTGCAATTCCAGGGCTGAAATTATCCAAAAGACTCTAGTGAAGGTGTATGGAGTTCGAAAACACAGTGGAGCACATGACATCAGTGTTTTCTGTTTGAGAGAAGAGCTCATCTTAAATATTGTGATGATAAAGAAATAAATCCAAAAATCTATTTGATTTTTGATCTGCATGTAAACACAACAAGTGTTTTCTAATGCCCTATGCCCTTTAGGGAAGAAAAAATAAAAATAAAAAATCAATTTCGTTGATCAAATCTACTCAGTCATTAAAGGTGCATTGTGGAACCTTTCTGGTGGAGGGTCCATCAAATGCTTTTCTTACTGGAAATCTTGTTGCTTTGTCTGAAATGTTTCACAGTATGGTATTAAACCTTTCTATCTTCATGGAGACCAAACCAGACCAAGTTACGGGTCAGATCTGTGGAGAGGCGACCAGAAATATAAATAGAAGAAGACATAAAAAGCAAATGAAAAAACAATAACAAAAAACTAAAACAAAACAGCATTTTTTTGTCACATTTGCCAAAGAAATATATTTTTGGAAAGGAACTCTTCAAAAATGGTATAAAAAAAACCAAGGTGATTTTGATAATTTGCAAGCTCATCACTGTTCTCAGTACTTAGTCTGTTCTGTCCCTGTGTCTCAGATGGATACACCACAGACGACATCGAGTTTTACTGGAGGGGAGGACACAACGCTGTGACCGGAGTGGACCGCATCGAACTGCCCCAGTTCTCCATCGTGGACCACAAGCTCATCGCTAAGAAGGTGGTGTTCTCTACAGGTGAGCATGAAATGTTCTCTGTATAATATCCAACAGAAAAACCTGATTATTTCTGAAAGAGATTAGGTCCATGGTCCTTTTACAACAGTTTTTCAGATAGTCACTCTCACATTTTTGTTGAAATTCAAACATCTAACCTGGAATTTACACCTAGAATAGGTAAAGCTGCATATGTGTGTGTTTTTTTAAAGCTTCAATTTACACCACCAGCAACTGAGCCACTCCTGCAACACTACTCTCTATGTATTCTCACTTTTAAAAGACCAAACTCTTATATATTGCTTACATGTTCATTGTTGGTTGAATGAATTACTTTTTAAAACTATACAAGAGTTGTCTGGAGGGACGATGTTTTACATGGTAATAATAAGCAGTAATTTGGCTACTTTCCATGGTTTGGAAGTCTGCACACCATGCACCACGCAAAATTGTTCTTGTAAAGTTGCTGTCTGATGTCGTACAGTGTTTTATATTCATCCTCCACTGTTGTAAACTTTCCGTAGTCCATCACAAGTCATTCCCTGAGCTCCTGAATACGTCACAGGGTGTTTATGCGACGGTAGCGGTTTCAGAGAATGTATTTTGAAAGGGCATCGGAAGTTTTTTTTGACACCACGTGCTTACTTACTGTGTTTACCGGATTATAAGACGCAATAACAATAATGTTGAATGCTCTCGTCTATTTTCATACATAAGGCACACCGGATTATAAGGAGCATTAAGCTAAATAAATGTACAACACTTGAGACTGATCTCTTAGCCCAGGAATCCACGATCCATTGGCAGATCGTGGTGTAATTCGCCCGGCGTTGCCTCCACGTCTTGTTGAATGTGGATTATGAATGTGAATGTGGGTGGATCATTTAAGTTTTTGTAGTTTTTTTTTTCCTTCGAGGAGGACCCAAATATACATTCAGTAATAATGTGTTTAATGCAGCTTTGCGCACATTTGTTTTAGTTTTACAGAAATAAAATTTAAAACCACATGGCTAATTTGCATAAACTGTAAACTCTGAAAAAAAAAAAAAAAAAAAAACAGGTCTCTCCTTGTGCACTGATGCAGTCACCTTCTGTTTGACTCTGTGAGGTTCCTGACTACAGTAGCCGTAATTACTCCGACAATCCATCACGTGGTGCAGCTTTGAAGCTTACCAAAGTCGTACTAAAACATTTTGACAGATTTTTGAGCACTGTGTACCACATAAAATTGGTTCGAGATCAGTAAACATAATCAGAATTAATACATAAGGATTATAACTTGCACTGTCGATTTTTTAGAAAATTGAGAAAAAAGATTTTAAGTGTGCCTTATAGTCCAAAAAATACAGTAATTCCTGTCTTGCCACTGCTAAAAAGCCTGGAGATGCTCCTTTGATGCTGAAAAATTATAACTCCAACCTAATTAGAGCAATGGTTTGCGTAATGTCATCTGGTGGATGCGATACCTGTGTGTATGCTGTAAACTGTGGGTAAAACATGTCCATAAATGCTCCTCGGGCTCCTGAAAACATGTTGTTTATGTTCATTTAACATGACCTTTAAACATTTTTTGCCTGTTTTTGCATATGTGCGCAATGTGTCATCATGGTAACTTCTAAACGTTCCGCCATACACATACACATAGAACACCCCCATATCTTACCTGACAACCTTTTCCATTTTCTATTATATAACATTTCATCTAAACGTGAGCTGTAGGTTTTAGCGTTCCATTTACCCCACCATAATGTATTTTTCTGTCCCGTCTTTTTAATTAATAGCCTGCTTTTGGGCACTTCATACATCATTTTCATTACAACGTGGCGGATAATGTCGCAATTTAAATTTCGTTTGCCCGTTTTATCCAAATTACCATAAAATTACCATGCAACTAGACCACAACAATACGGTAAACGCCTTGTATTTCCGTTTTAATCCAGCCGTAAACAGATTTATTGTGATACGCAGCTACACTACATTTACATATTTATACATTTGCCGTACACGCAGTTGTGCGAGTTAAATTACCAATTTGCCGAGTACAATCTATAGGAAACCAGTATATTGAATAAATGTAAAACACTAATTCAATAACTGTGAAATTGGCATCCCATACACTGAAAGCTGTCTGCATACGCCTATAGCTCGAACCGAATCTGTTTATAACACGATGTAGCCTATCTGAATGCCACATGTGTTTACGGATCCACTCGTGTATAAGTTAAAGGTCCTAGATTATGCACATTTGACTCTTGTAAGATTTAAGCCGTGTTATATTGTTGTTACCTCTTCAAAAATCGAGCTGGAGTTGTGTTTTGTTTTATACACGTCACATGTCATTAAGTGGTAGTTTTCAAGTTAACACCTACACTTTACCTTTAGAGACTGGCAAATTTAGAGCTGAAATTGTCCAAATGATTCTAGTGAAGGTGAAAATATGCAGAGTTTGTGTGTTAAATGTGTGAATAAAACAAAAGAAGGAAGGAAGGAGGAAACAACATCATAACAGATAAGAAAATAGTGTAATATGGGCCCTTGAAGCTTAAGTAGGTTGGTACAGATCAGAGATGGAAACTTACAAGTCAGACCTGAGTCATTATTTTTAGGACTTGAGACTTGACTTGATTAAATGGACTAAGACTTGACGATAAAATGGATGCGATTTGGACTCGAAGGTCAGTGACTTGGGACTTGACTAGGACTTGAGCCCTGTGGCTTTTAAATCTGAATTTCTTTCTATTCTGACGGCAACGATTCACTCTAAGATCTTGTCAAGAGATAAAATTTTGCATTTCCAGAAATCTTATATACTCTATAAATACTCATATATAAATATACTATGTTTTTTTAAGTACAGTTTATCTTAAAATTCATATAAATTGCAAAAATCTCAGCTATATTTGGTACTTAGGTTTAAAGCCTTGAAATGAATTGAAGCTCAAAGCAGACGACTTGGACTTGAGGTCAAAGACTTGAGACTTATTTGAGACTTGCAAAATGACGACTTGGCCCCACCTCTGATACAGATAAAGGGGCAAAAAAAAAAAAAAAAAATAAAAAAATAAAACTACCACATGGCAAAATGTGTTAAAGTAGGTGTTTAAAAATGTATTTAAAGGTGCATTGTGTAACTTTTCTATTGGAGGGTCTGTCACCTGATTGTTTCTATGAATATGTCATTGCTCTGCCTGGAATGTTCCACAGTATGACATTAAACAGCTTTACTTTACATTTATTTAATTACAGGTGGTTTTATAGCTGAAACAATGCCTAGAAAAACAGGCATTCTGACTGTGAGCGGGATCGCCTGTTCCACAGATCTGACCTGTTTAATACTGTGGAACATTCCAGACAAAGCAATAACATCTCCATGGAGAAAAGCATTTGATAGAACCTCCACCAGAAGCACTTTTTGCCCAGATTTTGATGTATTAATGAGGCTTCAAATATTGTGACTAAAGGTTTCTGATGCATTTTGTTCAGTAGAAACAGTTTAATCTATTGTTTTGGGTTTTTTTTTTTTGTACATTTTTGTTTATTCAAATGTTAAAAATAAACCTTCAGACTTTTCAGCAGGTCTCACACAATAATATAAAATACTTTTATTTTTCAGTCCAGTTCAAAAATGTAATGGAGTAGAAAGTACACATACATAACTGCTCTCAGATGTAGTAAAGGTTTTCAGTTTAAAAGTATACATTTTAAAGGTGCATTTTGTAACTTTTTCTAGTTAAAGTCAAATGTTTTACTCCATGGAGATGTTATTGCTTCATCTTGAATGTTTCACAGTATGGCATTAAACCTTTCTATCCTCAATGAGACCAAACCAGACCAAGTTACAGGTCAGATCTGTGGAGAGGCGACCCCAGTCACAATCAGAATGCCTGTTTTTCTCTGTATTTTTGAGCTATAAAACCTTCTGAAACTGAATAAATGTAAGTAGAGCTGTTTAATGTCACACTGTGGAACATTCCAGACATCTCCATACAAACAAGTCCTTGCGTTGCGACCGGCCGGGTTTCATTATCCCATCTGGAAATATGGAAATTGGGGGAATCCTTTTTAACGAGAGCTGTGTTTTGATGTGAGCGTTTGACCCCGAGGTCGCTCCAAACGCACCATCAGCACCAAGCGCTCCTTTATCCAATCCCCACTCGTCCCAGCCAAGGGTGGACAATGTCACCACCTTGCCACCGGGAAGGGGGATTTCACAGATTACAATAAGTGGCTATGGCTCGTGTCAGCTATCAGCAACACAGTTAACAGATGGGTAATGGTGGAGGTTGGAAGTAGATTTTTTTTACTCTGGGTTGAATTCATTTTGTCTATAAAAGATAAGGGTGTCTTGTCTCAACCCGCTGGCGTAATAAACTGCAGCGTCTGATCGCACTGAACTGTGAAGAGAACTGCTTAAAAGTGCATTATGTAACTTTTCTGTTGGAAGGAAGAAACCTGCTTGTTTCTGTGGAGATGTCATTGCTCTGCCTGGAATGTTCCACAGTATGACATTAAACAGCTCTACCGTACTTTTATTTAATTACAGGTGGTTTTATAGCTCAAAAAAATACCAAGAAAAACTGGCATTCTGACTGTGAGCAGGTTCGCCTCTCCACAGATCTCACCTACTTTTGTTCTTGTTTACCTACCTTTCCATGACAATAAGAAGGTTTAATACCATACTGTGAAACATTATGGACAAACTGGTAACATTTCCATGGAGAAATGCACTTGACGATAGCCAGGCTGGCACCACCTAGTGCCTCCGCTCAATTTCATTTCTCTCCAGTGACTAGATCAAGAATCAGAATACACTAGACCAGTGGTGCCCAATACGTCGATCACGATCTACCAGTCGATCGCCAAGGTCGTGTGGGTAGATCGCAGTGTCCTAGTATCGCCTCGGACTCGATCACATTTGGCCTCGGTCCTGTCTCTCACTCGAGGTCTGACACTGGACAAGTGCGATCATATTACGGCCGCTGCTGTTGGCAATAAACTTGTACCGGGGTGTGGGAGCGTGC